TATTATAAGTATTATTATATATAATTATTATATAGTTTATGACAAAATTAATCAAAGACAAGGCACAGGCTGAAGCAGCAGTTAACTCAAGCTGAGGCAGAAATTTGAGGACCCATTAACTGAAGATCAGGCAAATGTTCAAGGCATCAAATAACTCAAACTGAGTAAATTAGCAGACCCATTAACTCAAACTGAGCCAGATGTGACCAGATGTTAACTGAGACTGCGATCAACTCAGGCTGAGTCAGGCAATTGAGACAACAGTTAACTCAAGCTGAGGCAGAAATTTTCAGACCGTAGTTAACTCAAGCTGAGGCAGAATTTTGAGACAATAGTTAACTCAAGCTGAGGCAGAATTTTGAGACAATTATTCAAACTGAGGCAGAAATTTGAGACAGAAACTAACTCAAGCTGAGGCGGAAACTAGACCCATTAACTCAAACCGGGCAGAAGTTTGAGACAACAATTAACTCAAACTGGGACAGGAGACTAAGAAGCCATTAACCAACTTTGAGGCAGGTATTAACTCCCGAAGAGGCAGATGTTTGAGCCAGATAACTCTAAAGAAACTCTGTCTTATACTGAGAGAGACAAATTATGAGTCTTTGGTCCATTCCTTGAAGATGAAACCTGAGACTTTGAGGCAGCAACTTTTAGCCTAAATGATAGTAGCAGTTGCTGGTAATGACCCCATATTACTGCAATCATTAATCTGTCAAACATTCTTGATTTAATCCCCTCGTAACGGTTGACATCTGTTCTGTCTGTAATTTGGTCGTGAAGCCATAGAAGGCCAATACATCTATCAGCAGAGCATTATATTATAGCGACAGCAGCCTTGAGCAATATATTCAGTGCAGTGTTCCTTACTGCAGAGCAGGAACGGACTGGGTACAGAGAGAAAGGATGGCTTTTAGTGCATGGTTCCAGTCTGTCCTGTTTCATTAATGACCTATAAAAGAACATTTAAAGGTCTGCCAGGTGTATCACAGAGCACTGCATTCACTGAATGGCAGTCTACACATCTCCATTTACCAGCCCATTAGCCTGCCACTCCAGGTGCCTCTGTGTGTGTATGTGTATCGCAGTGTACCCCTTTGTGTGCACGGCTTTGTCCGAGTGGATGTGCATGCGAGTTTGTTTGTCCCCGTTGTAGACTTGTAGCCTGAGGCCAATCACTGAGGTCCATTCATTATGCTCAATGCTCACGTCCATGTCACAGTGTGCTGCTTGGCTGAGTGCAGTTAGCATAAGGGGGAAAGAAAAAGACATTTCCTCTTTATGTACTTTGTGGACTTTGTACTTAAGCTGCAGCGCTGAGTCATCAAACCGCATTCCAACCAAAACGTAACTGCTCTGAGCCATTAAACATAAAAGATTTGCATTTAGTCCATGCCCTGGAGCAGATTTCAACATTAATAATAAACTATTTACCTTAATCATTGAATAGTGTTGATAGTTTAATATTAATATAAGTTGCATTTTAAGAAAGTAAACAGCAATTGGCAGTACTTTTTATTTTTCTTTCCTAAGGCACAGTCAGTATTTTCAGGATCTGAAGATTTAAACCGATAAAATTGCTGATGGATTAATGGTATGTGTTGACACAAAGCCGCAGCACCAATCCAACATCTGAGCAGTGTAGCGATATCGGAATTTTCCAATATTTAATTAATGAATTCAGCTTCATTACCTGCTTAATCCTGGTCAGGGTCATGGTAGATCCAGAGCATATTCCGGGAACAATGAGTGTGAGGTGGGAACACAGCCTGGTTGAAATGCAGGTCCATTTAAATAATTACATTTAAATTTAATTTACACATTAAATTTAAATAAAATACTTTGCTGAATGTAGGAGAAGGCTAAGCTGTTAACTGTTCATCCCCTGTATAGTGTACTGCGAAAACTAACTCTATATCTAAGATTAATATTAAAATATTAACATATAAAAACACATTAAATAAATATTAGTGAATAAAGTGACTAAAAGATGATTATCTTCCTATAACAACACATCCTTAAGTGTTTTATTTGTTTTATACCACAGAGATTTGCCAACAGTTACAATTTTGATCAATTATATAATGAAGTGTCATACTTTTTATCCATTTATAGTTACATTTAATGTTGTGGAACGTCCCAAATCAGTCCCAAGATAGTTCCAGATATCAATTACATTATAGCAGCTGTAAACGGTTGTTCCCTCACCATCCTCTTTCTTTTTTCTCTCTTTTATTGAGTTATTATGATAAGTTATAAGTTATTGTCATAAGTTATTATGACAAAAACCCCAGAGAAAACAGAAAGCGTGAAATCCTCTGTCCTGAACACTTTCCTTTGGTGGAAAACCTACTGACTGTTACAAAGTGCTGACACTAAATAAATCTCCTTGTAGGAAGCTTCACCATATGAACAATTATACTTTTTAAAAAAAAATTAGGCTTAGTTTATGTGGAGCGTCTGGCGTACAAGTCCCTGTGAATGAGCCGCTACTATAGAAACGATAACGTGTTAGAATGGGCGCATTAATATAAACCTGTGATTTGCAGCTGCACTACTGTCAGAGCTGCTGTTATGGAAAATTAATCAACACCTTCTGACCAATCAGAATCCAGAATTCAACAGCACTGTGGTATACAATGATCATATTACATACTACATTAAGACCACAAAACTGTTCTATGTGTATAGTTTCTAAATTAGAAATCTAACTTATCACCAGAATGGTTTTATTTAAGTTTCTTTTTTCTTTGCAGGACAGTGTCTCTTATCCTTCTCTTCTCCCAGTATCTCAGCAAGGTCAAAGTCCCTCTCATTGCTTACAGGGACAGGAAGTGGAAAGTGTTTCATTACCCTCTCTTTAGTCTGTTCTCGGTGAGTTTTATTTTTGTTTGTTTGTTTTGTTTGTTTGTTCTAGCCGTTAAATAGCGTACAAGTTATAGTGAACCATGGTCCTTTAAGGAACATGTGCATCCCCCAAAGCAGGATTTTCTCTTTTTGGGTTTCCAAAAGATGCTAATGTTTATAGCGTTGATAGCATGGTGTGAGTTCCAGCAGATTTCTTCGAATTTAGGGGAGAAAGCAGCTAAAAGGAAGAGTTTTGGCTAGATTTAAACATCAGCTTAGTGTCATCTAAAATCCCATTAATTTCAGATCAGTGCACAAAAAGAATTGAGGAAGTATTATGTGTCATTTGTCAGAAGAAAGGTAAAACGAGTTGGGGGGGGGGGGGGGGGGGGGGGGGGGGGGGGGGGGGGGGTTGAACTGTAATTCTCCAAGCCCGTCTGTCAGTATTTCAAAAAACTTTGCTGATTTCTGACAGCCCGGAGAGAAATCTGTTAAGAAGTCTATTCACCGACTAAACACCCCGGGCCAGTGACTTGGTCCTGTGAGTGCCATATTTTACATCACAGTTTACATTAAAAAAGCCGAAAGCTTTTAGTTTGTGCTGTACCAGTTCATTCCTGTTCCATGGCCGAAGGCAGTGCTGATTTTCCTGTTTCAAAATTTCAAATGTTCCTCTTAGCTCCTTCAGCGTTCCTCTTAGCTTCTTCAGGCTCTGAGGAAAAGCCAAGGAATGTGCTATTGCTTCTTTGGCAGGCTTTGTTTGGGATGTCTGGAGCTTGGCTGGTGTGCTTTCTCCTGACATACTTCAATGTTCTGCCCACTTCGCCGCACGAGTACGGCTACCAAGCCCGGACAGACATCAACCTGGACGCAGTTAGCAGTGCTGAGTGGTTCTTCATGCCTTATCCAGGTGGGTGTGTTAGTGAAACTTCTACATGTACTGTAAAGGCAACTTCCGAATTATTGGCACTAAAGATGCATTCGTAATGATATTGGTCCAATACCGTGCTCATCTACTTGAATTCATACTCGTAAAACAAAAATGCTCTGTTATCAACATCCTATGATCTACCATGTGACATAATCCTAGCACTAATGACCAGGCAACACAAAATGACAGCGATCTAGACATATTTCATGATTTATGATCAAAGCAAAGCAGACTGCAAGCTATGTTCTGTGAAAATATCAAGAGGAAGAACTACAGCATCCTTAAAAAGCCCACACACCGAGGTATCCTCGAGCGTGCAGAGAATCTGTCACACATGTAAGTAAGTAAGTAAGTACGTATATAAGTATATTTCATTTATAGAGCACATTTAAAACAATGTTCATTGACCAAAGTGCTTTACAAAGTGATGTATGTAGATTGATATGAAGTATTTTCCAGCAGTTACTGCTCTTGACTGCTTTAGCCAAGAACATTTGGAAACATACATAAACATACAAATCATACATATACTGTGTAATATGGATTTAACCATTTCTCAAAGGCTATGGAATAAAATGTTTTAATGTTTTAAGCTTTGATTTAAATGTGGTGGCAGAAATGTCTAGGGGTAGACTGGTCCAGAGCCTCACTGCAGAGACTGCAAATACACACTCACCTTTCTGTTTCAGCCGAGATTCAGCAGTAGCCGTGTGGTGGAATTTAAAGATCTAGTCACAATATGCAAGCAAAACATGTCTGCAATACATGAGGGAGTCAGTCCATTGAGGCCTTTAAAAACAAACAATAAAACCATATACTGTATCCTGAACTTAACTGGACGCCAATGAAGGTAAGCTAAAACTGGGGTAATACGATCCCTCTTCTTTTGTAAGTAGCCGAGATGCAGCATTCTGAATGAGTGCGACAGATGACTGGCTGATCCCAACATACAAGGCATAAACAGCTTTTTCTTGGTCATGTGACGATAGAAATGATTTGATTGTTCTGACCTAAAAAAAAACACCTTTGATGACTGCATTCATTTTTCTTTTGTTTGTTGTTTCTGAAAATTTCTTGCCATCCAACTATTAACATCCACTATACACTCATTGAGCCTCTTTAAGGAGCCCTGTTCACCATTTTGCAGAGGAAGATACAGCTGCATGTCATCAGCATAAAAATGGAATGAGATATCATGTTTGTATATGCATGTGCATAAAAGGGCGGTGGTCGCTCAGTGGTTAAGGTGTTGGACTACTGATCGGAAGGTCATGAGTTTAAATCCCGGCGGTGCCACTGCTGGGCCCTTGAGTAAGGCCTTTAACTCTCAACTGCTCAATTGTATAAAAAATGACATAAATGTAAGTTGCTCTGGGTAAGGGTGTCTGCCAAATGCCATAAATGTAAAAGTAAATGTGCATGGAAAAAAGTACAGGTCCAGGATGGAACCATGGGGAACCCCTGAAGTGTCAGTGGCGGTTGAAGAACACTGGTTGCCTATGTTGACAGAAAATGTTCTGTGTGAGATAAGAAATGAAACAATTGAGTACTTAATACCAAGACAGTGCTCCACACGCTTAATGAGTAAAGCATAATCCACAGTGTCAGATGCAGCACTGAGATCCAGAAAAACCAGAACAGAACAATGGCCAGAGAGAGCACTTCACTTCTGCGAGTACTGAGCACTGAGATACACGTACTTCCTTTCACCAGTGTGTACACTTTGCTCGTGATTCAAGCTACAATTCACAACACGCTTTTTAAATGACCACTCTGACTGATACTGCTCTGTGTGTTCAGGTCAGCCGTCCTCACGCTCTGTCTATTAAAGATACTCTTTGAATGACTTGAACTCCAATGCATGAGGAGTTCACTGTAGCAGCACACAGCAACACCTGACATACACAGAGCTACATAAAATGCTCTATGATGCCTCTGATTCATTAATACTAAGTAGGTTACACATTTCAGTATCAGCATCAGGTACCAACAAACACGAACTCGTACTCTGGAAAAAAAAAAAAAAGGTATCGATGCATCCCCAATTGGCAATTTTCCAAGAGAATGCGCAAAAAATGATTATAAAATAAATTGATTCAAATGATTCAGTGATTCAGACTCATACAGTTGGTGAAACTATTTACCTTTCATGAAGTAAAACTCATTTTAAAAAGAATGTTTTCTCATAAATATTAGTATTTACTCTCAACATCATAAGTGGCAAAATTATTGGCATCCCTAAAGAATATTTATAATAAACACTAACAAAAAAAATTTGTAAAGATTGATGGATCATAAATTATGTAATACCAGGACATTTTAACCCAAAACCTGAGCTCTATCTCTGGTAATGTGTGTGTGTGTGTGTGTGTGTGTGTGTTAACTCATCTCAGACAACAATCTCATTTTTTACATGGCTTCTGTGCTGCATTTTGCTCTTAACACAAATTAACAAATACACAAAATGTGGTTAACTAGCATCCATGCTAATGACATGAGGACATTAAGGACATTCTAATCATTTACTTAAAATGTATTTTTATATAAATAATTTACTTTCAATCTAAAATTTGTGTAACACAATTGACCTTCTCAGTCAATATCACAATTTAATTGAAAATGAAGCAAAAAAATAATGAGAGAACTTATTTTCTTCTGATGATGATTTGTAATGATTATATTTTGAAGTAAAGTGCAGTTTTCTAAGTTCTGTAGGTTTTATTTTGGTGATTTGGTGATTTATTTAAGTGATTCATCTGACACATGCACAGAGGTTTTTGATGTTTATAATGTATTTTACCTTTACTTTACATAAGTATTTGTAATAAAAATGTAATATCCGTGGGACACACATGGCACCTGAATTGTCGAATGGAACAATTTATGAATAATCCAAGACCTCTGTACAAATGTCTCCAACCTTGGTAGACAGGAAGAGATTGAGTGTTGCTATTCTCTCCACTGGAGGCTTCGCCAAATATTAATGTAGTGGGTGCAGTCACGCTGCTGAAGAAAAGTTTTTACGCTCAAGAAAATATTGGGTTAAAACTAAAGGCATGCAGCATGTGTCGCCCTGAAGCCAGAAATCATTATGGAGACTGATAACTGATCATTGATAAATGATATTGATCATACAATTATGAATATTTAGGGAATCTAAAATTACACACTTTGTCCAATCTACTTCAAATAGTGAAGTGAAGTGGCCTTTTGTCCAGGCCACCTCTTTCTCCAACCTAATTACCAAGACCATGAGATTTATTTTTGTACCAGGTAGATAAATTATTTGTGCCAGTTAAGTGGTCACATTAAATTTATTTCATCTTATATTACCATCAGGTCAGTGCATGTGTGGAAGGACGCATTACAATGTGATACATTTTAGGATCTTTCTGTGTAACTTAAAAACAACATCATAGTGCATCTGAAAATCTGAAAAACAGGTTTATTCTGCATTTCAGGACTTCCGTATCAGACACTTTAGTGGAAAATGTTTTCTTTTTAAAAGGCCCATTGTGTAGTCCCATGAGAACATTTCCTGCTTATTTGTAACTGAATATGAATGCATTATTCGGAGTGAACGGATAATGTGTTCTAAATGGATACAAATACAGATACGATTAGGAGGCACACTATTTGTTTTTATTTATTTATTTATTAGAGATGTCACCAATCTGATATCCAGTATCAGTCTACATTTTTTTATAATTATTATTTTAAATGCTAAGAAATTTTTTTTCTCTGTAATTTAATAACATATGAAATAATCTAGTCCAAGGATTCTCAAACCTGTAGCCAGGAACCGAAAAACCAAGAACCAGGAAGAGAAAAAAATGTTCACCCTATCATCCAGAGATCATGAGTTTAAATCCCGATGATGCCACAGCTGTCCATTGCCGGGAATCCAAGAGAGCAAAACTGGCCCTGCTATCCGTGTGGGAGGGGCATACTCTCTCCAATTACCTCACCACTAGCCAATCGTCAGCATTTGTGAGCTCACGTATGTGGAAGAGGGCAGATAGCGCTTTCCTCTGTGTGTTACGCTGCCGTGTGATGCAGCATGAGCAGCAGTTTCGAAAAGATGCAGTTCACGTGTCTCAGAAGAAGCACGGTAGCCTTCACTTTCCCCCGGTTAGTAGCTGTCATAGGTGTCCAGGGAGCCCCAAGGATCCGTGAAGTATAGCCAGGGGGTCCATGATTGTTTTATACAGTTAGCTACACTGATGGAAATCACAAATCACTATTATCTGCCTATAAATAATATCTAGTAGAGTCTAATGGCTGTGCAATGGACTGTCGTGTCACCTAAGATATACTCCTGCCTCACTCCCAACCTGGGATCCACCACAACCCTGACCAGGATGAAGCACTTACTAAAGATTGAATGAATGAATGAAAATTTTACTGATCAGTATTTATCCAGAAACCGTACGAGAATATAAGAACACTAAATAAAATTCGCTAACGTTCCCACATAAGTGCTGTATTCGTTATTTAGATGCACCTATAAATTAACGTCTATATGAGAATGAGTTATTACTCTCTTTTTAATCTGTTCTTGGCAGTGCACTGAGATAAACACACATGATGGCACGATTCCTTAGTGATGATGTGTGTAAATCTTGGCACAACACTCAGTTTAACCAGTTACTCAGTAGCTGACAGCAATTGAAGTACTTTTTGCAATTGTATCGATACAGATTCTTTCTTTATTAATGCCGAAGGGGAAAAAATGGTGCATTTAAGGACCTTGATAGACTCCGAGATTTTTGTCACGTTCACGCTCATAGAAAGCATACACTAAAACAGGAAATGAATTCATGTTTTCATAAAATTATTTTTAAACGATGATAATTGTTTCATCAGGCACATGAAAACATGAGATGAAGATGAACATGTGCAAAGATTGTAGTGATCTACATTAGCAGTACATCAGGCAATCATGACAATCTGTAATATTTTTTCCCCCCGTGTTTCTCCCCAAGTTGATCATCTGCTAATCATCTCCAAGACACATGAAGCCAGCCAACTGCACCTTTTCTAACTGCTGCTCATGTAGCATCACAGGGCAGTGTAAGACCCTCGGAGGAAAGCACTATCTATCCACCCTTTTCCACATACATGAGCTCACAGACGCCTATGATTGGCTAGTGTCACTGTGATTGGCAGGGGAGAGAGAGTGTGCCCCTCCCACCCTGAGATCATGGCCAATTATGGTCTCCAGACCATAGATAGTTGTGACGTCATCTGGATTTGAGCACAGATACAATACAAATTCATTTGTATAGCGCTTTTAACAATAGACATTGTCACACAGCAGCTTTACAGAAATCCAGATTTGGATTTAGATTTAGATCCCTACCCAGTAATCTGCCCAGTAATCACTGATGCATATCTAGGTCATTCAAGATCATTCATGAATTCATTTTAAATGAAATTGAAGTAATAAAAAAACAAGCAAAGGAGAAATACAAGAGTTTTTTTGTAATATTTATTGTTTTAAAGCCAGAAGATGCTTTGAACATCTTGTTCACACTGTATATATACTGTATACTGTACTTTTTTTAGGTTAAAAAAAAGAAAAATGATACATCTTGTTAACCTCAAGTCATGTACACCTCTTTTTTAGTCTCATTGTCCACTGAGTCTCTCCTGTTCCTTTCATCCATCCCCTGAAATCCCATCTCCAGGGCAGTGGGGTCTCCCGACCGTGAGCATCTCCTCCGTCCTGGGCATGATGGCAGGGGTATTGGCATCTACCATGGAGTCCATCGGGGATTACTACGCCTGTGCACGGCTCTCTGGTGCCCCGTCTCCGCCCACCCACGCTATTAACCGTGGCATTGCAGTGGAAGGCCTGGGCTGCATCCTGGCAGGGCTGTGGGGAAGCGGCAATGGGACGACATCGTACAGCCAGAACATTGCTGCCTTGGGGATCACCAGGGTAGGTGTTGAGATAATAATAATAATAATAATAATAATAATAATAATAATAGGAATGCATCAGTACAGGTTCTTTGGTACTCAGATACCGAAATGCATAACCTACTTAGTATTAATCACTCAGGGGCATCATTGAACATTTTATTCCTCTATAACTCTGATTATGTTTCCCTGGGTTTAAATTGTGGCCATGAGAAGCACACACATGTCTGTGTTAATGCACTCGCGCTACTAGTCTCATTCTTTATGTTAGCGAATTGATATTAAATGTAGTCAGCTACAGTAGTTAGCTTGGATCGAGTAGGGTTACAGTGGGGAAGAGCGGGTTTTGTTTCACTTTGGAACAGTTGTGA